AATATGCATATTAGCAGAAGTTTTTTGCTACAAAGCACATTATATTAAATCATTCTCCAAGTCCTGCTACGATATTATGCTTGTCAACAAATTTCATGAGCTCATTACAAAAGAGCAAAGCATTTGTCCATCACTGCAGCTGTATTTTTATCAACTCAGATTGCATTTCTCTCATATAATTTTTTTAACTTAAGCTTTCTACGGTTTATAAGAAAATAGATCTTTGCTCTCAGATTCATTTCAAAAATAGGAATAAGAATTATTCATATACAAAGATTCAGCATTTCATCTTCCCATCACATTCATTAAAAGGTAAAAGCTTAAGGTTAAGACTCAGCATGTAACTTCGCTAAAACACTAGAACGCGTCAGGTAGGGGTCGAACCTACGACTTTCTGCTTAGGAAACAGACGCTCTATCCACTGAGCTACAGACGCTTGATGACTTTAACTTTCTCTCTATAAATAAGTGTTATTGACTCAGCATGTAACTTTGATAAAAATCTAGAGCGCGTCAGGTAGGGGTCGAACCTACGACTTTCTGCTTAGGAAACAGACGCTCTATCCACTGAGCTACAGACGCCTGTTGTTTGCAGTAGAAATTAAATTCGCATAAATGATCTTTTATGGGCTTACGCAGAAAAAATGATGCACCAAATATTTAATGCCTGTTTTTTTTTTTTTTTTTTTTTTTTTTTTTTTTTTTTAAGATTTCTCCTTTTTCTTCCCTTTTTTGGGCAATTTATATTGTGCAAAACGACGTCGTTTTGTACCTTTTTTTTTTTTAGAAATTTCATTTTCTGTGTCGACTGTTAACTTCTTTAAAAAAAATCTCATGTTTCAAAAATTTATATAATTGTATAATAGAATATATATAATTGTATAACAGAATGTACATAATTGTATAACAGAATACACATCATATTTTAAAAAGTTAATACACATAATCTAACATAATACATAATACACATAAACTCTTAACATAATACATATAAATTCTTAACATAATGCACATAAACTTTTAACTCTTAAAAAAAATTTCATGTTTCGGATGTACATAATTGTATAAAAAAATGTACATAATTGTATGAAAAATGTATATAATTGTATAACATAATTATATAACATAATACACATACACTTTGTTGCGTCAACTCCCACACAACTTAACAAAACAACATTGTTTTGGGAGACGCGGAACACACATTGCTATGTGCGCCGTGGTGCACGGTATAACGATTGCTCTTTTTCTCCTCCATCTTTCTCCTAATTGAAAAAAAAAAAAAAAAAAACTATCTGTTGGTGATGACAATCTTATTTTACTTGTCAAATAGTATTTATTGGCTTATCATTTTAAAATTCAACTTTTTTATGGTACTTTTAAGAGTAAATGTCACTTTTAGAGTTTTAGTTATCAACAATTGTGACATAATTGCAATTTACACATTTAATCATATTTTTAAATTTTGCATCGTCATATTATAACTTTGGAGTTAGTCTTCTGTTCAAATTTATTTTATTCCGCCATTTAATAAAGAGAGTTATTGTTTCTTTATAATTTTAAAATGAGTTAATACCTAATATAGTCATCAACTATAGTGGTTTTACTCAATTTAGTCCTGTGTGACTTTTTGTACTTAATTTAGTCATCGACTTTGACGATTTTACACAATTTAATCATATGTTTGTTGGATGCTAAAAGTAGGGTCAACATGGGTAATTTTCTCCCTCTCCTCTTTTTGGTCAAATTACCCTCCTCTCCATAATTCTCCCTCCCTCTTCTTCATCGATGGTAAAATCCGCAATTCCCTTCCCTTATATCCTCAAGCCCTAGAAATCCAAAAGTTTACCCAATCCAATCATTGATAAATTGGCAGAGATTATCGATGGGAATGCGACACGAAAAATTGGAAGCAAACACACACCAAAATATGCTTCGCAGAAAGAAACCTTGGAAGTAGTTTATGTAAATAACCAATACTTGAACCTGGTTAATGGGGGACACCACCTTCTTCAGAATTTCACCAGTGCACAAAAATTCATCAAATTCGAACTCAAATTGTATGTTGGTGTTTGCCTGCTAATGTGTCGAGAATGGGAAATCTCCCCTTGAAATCTCTTCATGTTAGCTAAGCATGAAAATCTCCCCTGTACATAACTAAACATTGGCTAATGGATAGGTGGTTCCCCTGTGTAAATAACTAAACACCTTTAAGCAAGAGAATGTAGTTGTTGGGAAATGGCAGCTGACAGGAGGGTAATCGGACTAACAAGAACAAAGAAAAAATTATCATTTTGACCTTGCTTTTAACACTCAACAAACAAAATTACTAGCATAAGACTTCGAACTTTTGGCCAAGCTCGATGAGTGAGGAAATAAACCTCACAAAGAAATAAATTGTATAAAATCATCAAAAGTCAAGTACTAAATTAAGTTCAAAAAATCACTTAAAAACTAAATTGAGTAAAATCATTAAAGTCGAGGACTGTATAAATTATTAACTCTTTTAAAATTAACTTTTTTATTTAATGGTATGGTTAGGATCAAATTTTACTTTTAGTTATCAATTATTTTGACATAACTGTCATTGACACTTTTTTATTTTTTATTTAAAAAAAATTACATCATTATATTATTAATTTTCATTTGTTTGTCATATTTAGTCTTCCATTTAAATTGATTTCATTCCACCATTTAATAAAGAGAATTATAACATGTATTTCATCATTTTTAATTAAAAAGACTTATGAGAAAGAAAGAGAAATTACATGTTAATGCAAAATACATAAATGATCAAATTACATGTTGGCCCTCTTTGTTAAAGGTAAACTAGCAAATTTAAATGGAAAACTAATTATGATAAACAAATAAAAATAAAAAAAGTAATAAGACAAGAATATAATAAAATGTTGACGATATCTCAATAGTCAATACTAAAAGTAACATTTACTCTACTTCTATATATTCTTTAAATTTACAAATTTGACATACTAATAATAAATTAAATACTCCGTATTATCTAAAAAATCAAATTGTAAATAAATTAAATCAAATCTTATTAATTGAATTGAAAGATACAACGGGAAAAGGAAGTAGGTGATAAGCCCTCACGGGTTTAACTTATCAGTTCAGCAGACAGTATTTGAAAAAAAAAAAAAAAAAAGATAAGAGTATAAGACTGATGGAGTAGCTGCTAAGTGCTACTGATGGAGTGATGGAGAAGTGTACAAACTAGGAAGGACTCCACTTGTATTGTTCTTATTATAATAAATTAAATATACACAATAAGCCATACTCCAAAAAAATATACACAATAAGCCAACAACAAACTGCACAATCAGTCTTTCACACTAAATTATCATTAAAACTACTTAGTGAACTGACGCCCAAGTTCTTTCTACTCTATGCCAAATCTGAACATTTTCATCTACTACTTTTTCCAGATCCATCAAATCCAATTCACATTCTTTTCCCTCTTTTTGCATGTGAAGATATTCCGAATACTTTAAACAGAAATTGATCGATTTGATTTAATAATAGAAGACTGTACGTAACCTGGGAGTGTGATTGAGTGAAAGGTACTCATCCATCCATCCTTAACCAAATATCAATGGTTCGATTCTTGACTTTGGGTATGAAGGAGCGTGTCAGCCTTAAATTTACAGGCCAGTTGTCCCACACGGCCATACTAGATGCTTACAATTCAGAGAGGAGATTACTTACTTTGTAACTGTGTTCGACGGTAGAAACCCTAGAATACACCCAGAAATAGAAGACTGTACGTAAAATTGACACTATAAAGGCGGTGTTAATTCAACACATTCATTGCCTGACAAAGCAAGCAAAAGGACAGAGGGTCCTCAACAGCTGTCCTTCCACTTATTGCCATGTAATGCTTTGTTTTGTTCCCTTCTCTAACATTCCTTCATCTATGCCACATTAGGGCTTCCCCACCTACTCAATAATTCTCCATGGACACATTCTCTTAGCACTCATCATTCTAAACTCTTCATGCATAGAATGCCAAACTAGGATGTTCACACTAACCATCAATGGTGAATTGCCTATGTATCTCACATGGATTCCAAGCACTATATACCTATTTGCTACCTCCAAAAAAATTTCTAACAAACATTTCTTCATCTCAGTTACACTTCTCAAAGGTTGTTAAGTACACTTCTGGTGGGGCTCCAGGGGTTGATACATTAACTCAAAACTTCATCATATATTATGATACCAGGGAAGATATTATTGTGTGCAGCCTTTTCTAGCCCCAAAAGTCACTACCTACAGGTCATCTATGCACTCAAGTCAAGCAAATATGGTTTTTCTTGTGCACAACGTCAGCACATGTCTGAAGCATTGCATTATACATGTGCACGCCATTTTAGCTGCTCAGTAAATAATACAAAAATATAGAATATAGCTCATCATATGTTCCCAGTTTCATTCATTCACATAATCAAATGTATCATGTATGTAAATGTGATTTATAGATATACTCTTAAGCCTAAAGTTTCTTACCTGTGAGACTTCATACGGTTGCTATGTTGATCTTTCATTCTCACATGCCACATCTTAAATTTCTCTTCTGTTCTTAGTTTAGGTTCATACTGGCCCTTGAGACGCTTTCTTGATGTACTATCCACTCGTTATCTACAGCATCTTACAAGTTCAGTATGCATTTGCTGGATTAGCTGAAGCAGCATTATCTGAGAGTCATGGCAAAGAAGAGCAGCTGGCTCACTGCGTTGAAAAGATTTTTTGTTTCAGACACGGAATCCAGACCAGAAAAGGTAAATATGAGCTGAGCTGCTCATGTAATCAGTAGATCAGATAGTCTTAATTCTCGAACTTGAATTGCACCTGTATTTGTCTGCAGGGGAAGAGAAAGAGATGGATGTTTGGCTTGTTCATGGACCACCCACCACCACCAAGAGAACAGCAACTAAGTGGAACTACTGGAACAGAAGACAAGCGGAGCCACGGTGTTGTGAATGTTGAAGTTTCAAGTTCTGAAGCTAATGCTGCTTCTGTGCCTTCAACAGTACCTCGCTGCGTTGCCTGCCCACCTGAGGCCATTCGATCTGTCAATCAGCAAAAGGAGGAAACCACAGAATTGTCAGCACATAATCTTAATGTCAATGTTTCACAATGCTGTTATGAATATGACTGGGAGATTCAAAACCTTGCTGCCATTAAAATTCAGACAGCTTTTCGTGGCTATCTTGTAAGTTAATCTTCTCTGTTTCATCAGATGAACATATATTTCATTCAATTGGACACCTTAAAGTTCTCAAAAGAGCATACATGACAAAACTGGAATGTGCAGTACCAAAGGAATAGGAACAGGAATCTATCCTCCACTAAAGATTCGTAAGAATTGTGTGAAGTGTTACTATTATCTTAAGTTGATTAAAGATTCATAGGAATTGTGTACAGTGTCATATTTCCAGCCAAATACAAAAAAGTAAGTATATAATCACCAATGAATTCATCCAGAGATGCATAAACTCATAGAGAGACTATTGTTTCACAATGAAAACAATTTCCAGATTCCAATGAGAGATTAATTATAATCCATTTCATATTTTGTTGATGAAGTACTTGCCCCTTTAGACCTATGTGGCCTTTTTATAGGCAAAAAAAGCTTTACGAGCACTGAAAGGGATAGTAAAGCTTCAAGCTATCATTCGAGGTCAAGCTGTTCGACGTCAAGCTATTGTCACCCTTAAATGCTTGCAGTCCATTGTAAACATCCAATCAGAAGTCCGAGCAAAAGGCTGCAACATGGCAAAGAAAACCCTGGATGTTAAAGAAAACCAATCCCAGGATCCAACGGAGAAAGACATAAGGGTACGTAAATGCTTTTATAAAAGTCATGACATCAAATAGAAACTAAGCAGTTCTTCCACTGGATGAAAGTGTGGGTTTAATAGTATGGTGTTCTACAATGGAAGAATTCTGTAACCTGGCATAATGACTAAAGTTACCTACTTATTATATTATAAAAATATTTAATTGATGGCACTTTCTTCAAATATATAGATAGATTTGAACAGCCAGAGAGGGTGGGACAGTAGAATTTTGTCAAAGGAAGAGGCAAATGCTAAGTCCTTGAGCAAGAGGGAGGCCTCCTTCAAGAGAGACCGTATAAAGGAGTACTGGTTAACTCATCGGGTAAGTATCTCGCATCTGATTCCTGTATATTCTCATCATATCTAAAGTTTAGTACAAATTGTGTCACAAAGAAATATCTATGTTTCCAGAAGTCAACAGAGTCGGAACAGGGTAAAGTTAATGCAAGAAGATACTGGTTGGAACAGTGGGTGGATTCTCAGCTAGCTAAAAGAGAAGATCTTAGAACTCTAGATATTTTTTCCACAAGTGCACGAATGAGAGAGGAGTTTGAACAAAGAGAGTATAAATTAAGAAATTTGCAGAAACATCAACAGAAAGAAGGCTTGGTTTCTGCCACACATGTTCCAAGAAGATCATTTCACCATAAAAGGCAGCATTCCACTGGTGATGACAGTCCTCTTGTGGCCTGCCCTACTGTTCCAACTTATATGGCGGCCACCAAATCGGTTGAAGCAAAGGCTAGATCAATGAGTTCACCAAGGCTACGCCCTATAAACCTTGATGTCTACTCTGAGATTAATTCTCCATATAGGTATAGGCTCTCACCTATATCCTCTATTAACAGTGATGCCACAATAAACAGCATGATTGGCGGTCGTCCAAGTTTCACCCAAAGATCACCAGGTTTAAAGAGTGTAGCTGGTCCTGCAAGATCAAAGCAAAAGTCTAAAGGATATTAAATTGGAGCTCAAGTTCTTATCGCCAAATTGGCATCCTTATTGTGCCCGCAGATGATTAATGATAAAAGAGAACACGTGCATCGTAATATTAGGATGGCTTGTTTAAATTTAAGATTATTATAAAATCAGTTCCGTAATGTCTCAAATGAGCATGTATTCCTCAAACATTAAATAAGCATCTCAAGCTGGCTGCAATTCCCTGTGAATATTACAAGTAAAGACTGATGAGTATTGCCATGTTTAAAGGCTTTCTCAAGGAACTAATGATATAATTCCCAGTAGAAGAGCCATGTCCCTTGGTGTGGACGGGGTGATGTGTTTTTTCAATTAGAAGGCGAACCAAATCAGTTGCTTATCAAGAAGAGATACTTTTATTATTTAACAAGTTATCAAGAACGCCATCACAGCATTAAAAAATATAAACAAGAGTAGAGCAAATACTCTTGTTAGCAGAATCATAAGACATTTTCTGCAATTGGTGAGGCGGATATCCTTTATCATGACCTTTCCCTGGATTGCTATAAAAGCAACTGTGATTATTGGATGTAATACAATTTTTATTGAGTCATCACTGTCTAAAATGCATTTGCATTTTCAGATCTTTCCCAGTTTCAACTTTCTTCTCTTTTTAGTTTTGAATTAGTCAAATAAAGAAGAAGTGTGGAGCTGAATACTAATAATAAATCAATACAAACCTGAATATATGCCTTTCTTTATGCTGATAAATAAACGAAAAAAAGGTTTACAATCTGAAGCAAAAACAACCATAAAATTGTTACTTACCCCAACCAGCCATTGTTACATATGCAACACTGACAGTCCAAACTAGCAGTAACGGCAAAAAGTCTGTTCCAAAACTCCAAAAGCATCCTATTATGAGCAGCAAGATCCTCAGGGTATAAAACTAAACCGAGAAAAAAGACCAGAAAATCAATAAGTACTGGGATTTCATGTGACTGCAGGAAAACCATTGTTTAGTTAATTGTACAATGCACTACCATATTAGTGACTAAATAACATTATCATTTTCACCTACCCCCATTCTAAGTCAAATAAAGAAAAGTAATTCTAATTAGTAGTATTATTAGTATATTCTAATCACAAATTACACATCAATCACTTTGTTTAGTACTCCAAGATTCAAACTTTCATTTTCTACTCCATAGGACCATAAGTGACAAAAGCAACAGAAAACATTATAATAAACTCACACTTGCATATTCATTGTTTATACCTCAGTATAAATCTGGCAATGTCTTTGCACTGAGAGAACACAAAACCCTAAAAAAGCTCAGCAATGGCCACCCAGCTCCACCTCCTGCATCCCCTCCATTCTCTTCCACGCCCTCTCAAAACCTTAAAACCAAAAACCATATACATCCACAAGCCGAAACTGAGCGCCATCGCGACTGCTAAGCTGCGGGTGGCAGTGATTGGTGGCGGCCCGGCGGGGTCTTCAGCGGCGGAAGCTATGGCGGCGGGAGGTGTAGAAACATTTCTCTTTGAGCGTAGCCCTGCCACGGCTAAGCCTTGCGGCGGCGCCATTCCACTCTGCATGCTGGAAGAGTTCTCCATCCCCACCGCCCTCATTGATCGCCGAGTCACACAGATGCGAATCGTCTCCCCGTCGAACCTCGTCGTCGACTTCGGGAAAACTCTCAAGCAGGATGAGTTCATCGCCATGCTCCGCCGCGAAGTTCTCGATTCCTTCCTCCGCAACCGCGCCGAGTCCAGCGGCGCCATCCTCGTCAAGGCGCTCGTAACGAAACTCGAGGTCCCTACATCAAAAACGGAGCCTTACGTCATCCATTACACCATTGACAACACGCAGAAAACCCTAGCAGTCGACGCCATAGTGGGCGCCGACGGAGCCAACAGCCGAGTGGCCAAGTCGATCAAAGCCGGAGACTACGCTTGCGCCATAGCCTTCCAAGAGAGAATCCGACTCCCCGATGAGAAAATGGAGTATTACGAAAACCTGGCGGAGATGTACGTCGGAAACGACGTATCCCCGGATTTCTACGCCTGGGTGTTCCCGAAATGCGATCACGTCGCAGTCGGGACAGGGACAATCTGCTCAAAACCAAACATCAAAGCATTCCAACACGGCATCAGAGCTAGAGCCCGAACCAAGATCGAGGGCGGAAGAGTGATCAAAGTAGAGGCTCACCCAATTCCAGAACACCCCCGTCCGGTGAGGATCCGAGGGCGAGTTGCTCTGGTGGGGGACGCAGCGGGGTACGTGACAAAATGCTCCGGCGAAGGGATATATTTCGCGGCCAAGAGCGGAAGAATGTGCGGCGAAGCAATCGTGAAGGCGTCGGAGGGCGGGGAGAGGATGATCAACGAAGGGGATTTGAAGAGGGAGTATTTGAAGAAGTGGGATGACAAATACTTCACAACTTTCAAGTTCTTGGACTTGTTACAGAAGGTTTTCTATGGCAGCAATGCAGCCAAGGAGGCATTGGTGGAGCTGTGTGGAGATGAGTATGTTCAGAGGATGACATTTGAGAGCTATTTGTACAAGAAATTGTCTGATGGGAATAGATGGGAAGATGCCAAAATGTTAGCCAACACAATTGGGAGTTTGATCAGGTGTAATTTTGTGGGGAAGCAAATGGAAGCAAATCAAACAAAACTTCTTACACAACTATAGATTATAGATTATTCCCCACAACCAAACCAAACCAATCATTTAGTAGCAAGCTACATCTCTTTTCTTGTCTTTTGTCCTGCAACAATAAACTTTAGTTCAAATCTAAACAGTCAATGTATCAAAAACAATATCATTTGGCAACAACTACATTAAATTCAGTGAAATGCTTTGCTTGCTTTAATACTCTTGAGAGTGGGTGAATCTTGACCAGTCTCTACACTGTTTCTCTTCCTGCACTTTGATATTCAGCCACTCAGTTCAATGTCACAACAAGTGAATACTTTGATCACTGTCAGGAACTTATATGTTGTAAACTTCAAACACACCATCAAGGTTCACCAAATTTCTTTCTTCATATACAAAATAGCAGTATAGCACAACAATCAATTACAGACACATAAAATAGCTACTTTCCTCTTATTTGTTTGTCCCTTAGACCCAAAAGGTGTAAGTTTTATGTTGATGTGATCTCAACTTCTCGCTTGGGCCGATTACGTTTACTTGGAGTTTCTATCTCTTCCTTCGGGGAGGTGGCGGCGTTGTCATCATCATCTTCCTCTGTTTCCAATATTGATTGCTCTATTGCAAGCTAGTTGAGCAAAAAAAAAAAAAAAAACTGTTAATATTTACATCAAGACAAGTTAATACATTCTGTAAAACTGTTTGGCATATATTATCAACTAAAAAGAGACTACATAAATATTTACAGATGTTTTCAGCCAAAGTCCATAGGAAATAACAGTGTCATGACAAATCCAGTTGATCATTCCAATGACAGAACAGAAACTCTAGTTTTGATGCAAGGTAAATTATGCGGGTAAAAAAGGATCAAGAACTATAGTGCAATGACGGATGCATACCTTACACTACTACCAGGAACCAAGGGCAAATCAAGCTATGAATTGTCAGACTCTTCACTGTCTAGTTTGTGTCTAGTAGACTAGTGATAACTGAATGCATGCTATTAAAATTTAAACAAGTGTGTGAACTGTAAGAACATCCATCTACTTCCCATAAAGTAATCTTTGCTCAGTTAAAGACTCTGAGCATCCAATCCCAAAAACAATTGGAAGAGGGTTATAATGCCAAAACATTATTAAGCAACCCATATCGAAAGGAGATGATATTAGTGTTGACACTTTTCCCAAATGACCCTTACTGGAATATCCAGTACTGTATTAAGCAATCCAGAGTTAACTAGATGATACTCTATTACTCTATATTACTTTTAATGCTCTATCATGAATGTTCAGAAGCCCAGACAGTAGGGCAAAGAGGCCAAGCATCAGACTTGGTTTACAACTCAAGGCATAACCCCATTACTATGCTAAAGCATCCAAGAACCCACCTAAAACCAATTGACGTCCAATGAGTGAAGTAGGTTCAGGACCATATGGAAATTAACACACACAATGAAGCAATGCATAACTCTGATACCATTACCAATGCCAGGAGGTAATATTGGTACTTATACAACTCTAAATGATAGCTTTCCCCAGATGACTATCACAAAGCTATTCCCTTATGGTTCAGCATGTAAAAACTCCATTCAAGTGATCAAGTCAAAGGGCAACTGGCAACAATAACAAATATGGAGTACATTTTCTATCAACTATAAATTTTTAAATTTTTCTTTTCCTTCTTGACAAGTTAACAGGATTTTTATACTACAAACTCTCCCCGAATCCATATCCATCAAATAACTACTATTCCGTAAATTAATGGTTTAATGCATCATAATTTAAGCACACCTGGGCTCTGGCAAGTGCATTCAGCAGCGACCTATATTGAAAAGTATTTATGAAATCTAATTTTCATTTTACAAAATTAACACTCAAATTTTCTTAAATTTATCTATGAAAACGAAAAAAAATTGCATAATCTAACATGAAAATAATACATCACATTTATTATATGTTGATGAAATACATGTATATATTTAGCAGAAGGTCCACAGCCATTCATTCAACACAAGGAAGAATTAAATTAAACAAGAAATCATCTCAAAGCATACATAAAAAATGAATAATCATTAAGAGAAATTCGAACTTTACTGATTTTACAAAGGTATACGTACCTCTTCGAGGTATTGCTGGTCGAGCTTATCCGCGACACGGATGGAAGCAACGACGGTGATAGCAAGCATGGTTATGGGGAAGACGAAGGCGAAGATGTAGCTGCTGTTCCCCGCTCGCGTCACCACGGAGATGCCTCTGCTCTTCCGCCCCCGCCGCGGGCCAAATACAAGGACCGGAGCTTTGCTGCGACAATTGAGAGGTGGAGCGACGGGTAATAGTGGCGGCGCGTTTGGCTTGTAGGATAACGGGAGACTTTGGGGACAGAGAAAGTTGGGAGATGCAATTGGAGCTGCCATTGCCATGGATGCTCTATCAGCTCACTCTTCAATTTGTTTTAATGATTTCAAAACAAATTTGCTCCATCATTTTAACTTTATTTTGTTTTTGGCCCATATTTATTTGTGAAACACTTTCCGGGCACTTCGAAATTGAATATTAACATTATGCCCAATATAAAATTGTATTCCAAATTTTTACCTCCAATCGTCAAGTCTTGGTGTTCTTTACTCGAAGTACATTTCCAGGTAATGACTTAAAATTAAACACAACATTACAAAAAACACATAATGATACTAAATATAATAAAGCCTTATAAGATTAGAATGCGTCAAGCCAAGAATGTCATTATACAGACGTTATGCCATGGAACCGTGTTCACCATTCATGGTGAACACGGTTCCAACGGTGTTAGTGCACCGTTATTTTTTTTTTCTTTTTTTTTTAATTAATTACGTGACTGCCTACACATTCACTTTGGAACCATGCCTACACATTCACTTTGGAACCATGAGATTATGAATTTTCTATTATGAGATTATGAATTTTCAGTTATGAGATTATGAATTTTCTGTTATGCGATTATGAATTTTCTGTTATGAGATTATGAATTTTCATTACATTCATAATTTCGGAGTTTCGGACATTCATAAATTATGAATTCATGCATGCACATTCACTTTGGAACCATGCCTACATATTCCCGTCCGAAATCACGGACATTCATAAATTATGAATCCATGCCTGCACATTCACTTTGGAACCATGCCTACACATTCACTTTGGAACCATGAGATTATGAATTTTCTGTTATAAGATTATGAATTTTCTGTTATGAGATTATGAATTTTCAGTTGTGAGATTATGAATTTTCTGTTATGCGATTATGAATTTTCTGTTATGCGATTATGAATTTTCTGTTATGCGATTATGAATTTTCTGTTATGAGATTATGAATTTTCATAAAATTCATAATCTCATAACAGAAAATTCATAATTTGATCAGTAACGCGCCGTTAACTCCACATCCGCGATTTTTTTTTTTTTTTGCCTAAAAACGACGTCGTTTTGACTTGTGTTCACCATTCTCGGTGAACACGATTCCACGGCATAATTTGCGGTCATTATAATACACTAAAAAGTATATATATTTTTTCGTTGAAACTATGTGACACAAATACACAGAATAACATATATAATATTACACAACATTACTATTTTCAACTAAATTGTTAATTATCATAGAAAATATAACACTTTGAATTCGAAATGCAATACTTTTTCAAAGTAACATGTATTATATAGAATATTGGAAAAAATTAAAGTGTTATTTTTATCTATATAAAATAAGTACTTTTAATTTTAAAGAAAAAAAAAAAGTTTACCTTCATTTTATAAAAATGCAGGACATGTGAGATCCTCATCAACGACAGCTTCATCAATTTTATCCTTTCCATCAAAACACATGTTTTCACACTCCATATTTAAATAGTTTCTGAAAAATATAACAATGAAATAGGAACTTAGAAAACTACGGAGTATATTTTTTAAAAAAATTGATAATAGTTTTATATTATTGAAGTATTATTTTCCAAAATTTTGAAACATATAAATTATCACATGAAGAATTTATGAGTATAGATAATGTTCCTATATTGATGAAAATAATTTATAGGTAAAGAATTAGGGATTTGAATGATAGAAATTCCCATTAGTCGAGTTGCAATACTTACCCGAGTTGGAGGTTGCGGCATAAATAGAGGCGGAAAAGATGTGATGAGGCGGAGGAGATTGGAGGAGACAGAGGCTATGTTTGGTAAATCTGGCTAAAAAAGTAACTGAAAAAATATAAGTTATAAGCTGAAAATTGAAGAATGTTTAAAAATGTTTGGTAAAATAACTTTTTAATAAGCTGATAAATGTAAAAAAAAAAAAAATGACATTTTTACCAAATCGAATAAAAAACCGTTCATATATATATATATATATATATATATATATATATATATATATATATATATATATATATATATATATAAACATAATAAGTTTCAATCCAGGTTATGTCTCTGGTTTTATGTCCGTTTTTTCCGTTAACTTTTGTTGTACATTATGCTATAAATGTTGTACTACATAATTATTTGGACAAAAATAACCTTATCGCTATAACTTCTGTTATCTTTCACATTATTATTACCATGCACATACATACACAATATCTTTTTCTTACATTCTTCAATTGGTAAGTATGATTTTATTTAGATTTTAATTAAATGTTACCATAGTTATATTTTTTTTTTTTGAAAATATATGTGGTGCTTTATTAAAAATATGTCGAAATAATGTCTGGTGGGAGAAGATCCCAGTACATAGCAGCCGATTGCTGATATGCTGAAGTAGCTAAGGCATGAGCTATAAAATTGTCTAGTCTAGAAATAAAATGGAAAGAACAAGACTGAAAATAAGCTGTAGCTGCTCTGCAGGCGTCAATGGCATAGCCGACGTAAGTGCGAAACGTAGTAGACGGTGTAGTAAGATAACGTTGTAGCATTAAACAATCTGTATATATTTCGATGTTCTGTTCCCCTCGATCCTTTAACCATGACAAAGCCTCCTTGCATGCCAATGCCTCGGCCATAAGTGGTGAGAAACAATCCGGGAGGGGTGCACTAAAGGCCGCGACATACCCTCCATTCATGTCTACGAGGATTGCCCCAACCGTAGCCTTGCCCGTATTGTGTATAAACCCCGCGTCGATGCGACATAGCCTCCGAGGTGGCTCTTCCTGTA